CAGGTCGGCATCCTCATCCAGGAGGAGGTCCTGGATGATATGGGTCTTCAGTTTCTTCAACCAACTGCCATCACTGCAAGGACTGTTGTTTGGTCTCTGGATCCTAATGATATAACCATGTTTCATCAACAGTTCCAAATCATTTCAAAAAAATTATCACTAGATCACTCAAAATGCTTAAAAAACAACTTGGAGGCATCCACTTGACTGACAGTTTCTGCATAGTCAACTGTTAATGACTTATAAACCCAGTGCGTTTCCAGGTTATCTTTAGTGTCTCAGCAGTTGTTTTAACATAGATCTATTGATCTGCCAAAATCAGGTCATGAACACACTCCACAGTTTCAGGAGTTGACACTGTTGAAGTCTTCCCAGACGTTGATGCATCTTTGGTATCAAAACTTCCACACTGAAAGTTGGCACACCACTTCTTCACAAGTGAGTACAATGGGCAGTTGTCTCTCAATGTTTCTATTGAAGGGCCGAAGCACATGGCCGGCCACAATCGGGCTGGGACCGCAGTGACCGCACAGCCTGCTTCCAAAGCAGACCACCATGTAGTTCCAAACTAATGCCACCAGGAGCCAGATTAAATTCACTCCTTTTTTGCTCTGGCTCTTTGGACCAGAGCATGGCATCAGAGCAGCTTCTGGCTGCTTTGGGGGCCTTTGGGGGTCTGTAGAAGGAGAAAGGAATTGGTGAAAATCACCTTTTCCCACCATTATCGCACAACACTCTTATAGTCCTGCTATTCCTCTTTTACTGCTCTGGCTGCCACCTGTTGCATTCTGGATTTGCAGTGTTGGGATGGACATTCTCAGCCAGAGGACTCTTAGGCCTAACTAAACTTCAAATCCCAGAATAACACAGGAGGCAGCCAGATCAGTATAAGTAGCACTATAAGAGTGTAGTGTGGTGTCTTCCTACTGATAGAAAAAAAGCTGAAATCAACTCTCTCTCTTTTATAGACATTGAAACAATTGGCACATTTGGCCTATGGTTTAGTGCACATGTGTGGACCACAGAGACCTACCCATTTTCTTTGCTGCTCCTCATTTTTCTTCCAACCTGCTGTCACTATTGCAGCTATGCTGAGGATGAGATAGTATGAGGATGACTTTCCTTGCTTGCCTTCTCCAGTATAATAATGCTTCCAACAACTTGCCAGAAAGCAGTCCTTTCTGGAATCATTCTGGAATCTGTTCCATGACACTTGCTGTATCTTTTGTTTTCCTGGCTTCTAAATCCAGTTTTTTCTTTGATACATTCCTGGCATTGTTATCTAACTATGACCTTATACTTTGGCCTCTCTTTAAATTCTGTCTGGATCTGAACATGTTGGATCTTGACATTGGATGTAGTTTCAGTTCAGAAATTCCTAAGTCAGTTTTTAAAATCACCAGTATACATCTAACTAATTAATTAATCTAATTTGCAATAGTTTGTTCATCAATCAGTTTTCCTGCTCTTTCCTAACATTGGGATTCTAAACTAGAAGGAAAACCAATACTCACTTCATCATTTAATATTACTCCATTAATTTCAGTATATGGATTTGGTCTATTTAAGGCCAAGTCCAACATTTCTCATGCGAACAGTGCAAAGTTTTCATAGTTAAATTCGCACTGCTATAAATGGGCTAAAATGCACTAGCAGAGTCCATCCATCATACAGGCTCAGTTCTCTTGTGTATCTAGGTTATGCTTATGTGGTACAAGCTGAGCAAAAGTGAATACCCCCATGGTTTCTTTCCCATCCCTGGTAAGATGGGAAGCAGAAGCCTTGAGCTGTAGAATTGATTGATTTTTATTAAGCTAGAGTTACTTTTCAAGGTGTGACATCATCTTGTCTGTGTTAAGATGAAAATTTATGTCTAGCTCTCTAGCCAATTCAGAGCAAAATCTAATGGCAAGTGCCATTTCATCCAACTGCAGCTGCTACTGCCAGGTTGTGTCTACCTTTGGGATCTCCTGTGGAAGATTTATCTCCTCACAGCAAGGTGGCACTTTCTGGCAGAACCCATGAACTGTAACTCAGCAGTTTCTGGCAGAAAGTGCCACTTACCACTGCTATAACAGTTCAGGGAACTGGAAGATAAAAACAGGAGTACTGTTGAGGGTAGGGATGAAGTGGCTCAGCGATTAAGATGTTGACTCTGACGATTGCAAGATCAGCAGATTGGCAGTTCAAAGCCCAAGTGCTGTGTGATGGAATGAGCTCCTATCACTATTCCCAGCTTCTGACAACCTAGCAGTTCAAAAGCATGTACAAGTGCAAGTAGATAAATAGATACCACTTCGGTGGATGGTAACAACGTTCTGTGCAGCCATACTGGCCACATGATCATAGAGTTGTCTTTGACAACACTGACTTTTTGGCTTAGTAACAGAGATGGGCACCATTCCCTACAGTCAGACATGACTTAACAACCTTGTCAAAGGGGAAACCTTTACCTTTACTTTTACCTTTACCTTTACCTTTACCTTACCGGGGGGGGGGGTTAGGCCAGCCATTGGTGAGATTGTCTTGGAAAGTTGCCATTTAAGGGGATAACGATTTATTGGTTGATAAATTGATTGACTGATTTGATTTGATTTTTTATATTGCCTTTGTCCATACAGGGTCCAAAGGCAAGGATCCTGCCTTGCTGCTTGAAAGAAGAGGGAGGGTTATGTACTTTGTATATCTATTTGTAAGCTGCCTCCTAAGGATGTGTTTTCAAAAGAAGATGGGAAATGTTGCGTCACAGAAAGCAGCTATCAACAGTACAGAGCATACAAAAAGAGGAGATGATTATACATTAACAGGAGAAGAAATAATAGAGTGCTGTTCCCCAGTCAAAATAACTGCAAGATTTGTTTGTATGAAGTTTGCTTTTGCCAGCCTCCGAGATTGAAAGAGTGTAATTTGCCCAAGGTCACCCAGTGGATTTCCATGGCCAAGCAGGGATCCAAATTCCGATCTCCGGAATCATAGTCCAATGTCTCGTTAATCACAGGTGATCGAAATGCAAAAGTAGAAAACAGAGCAGAATCAAAGACTATAGGAAAATTTGGCCTAGGATCAAAAAATGAAACAGGGCAGCAATTGGTTGATTCAACACAAACATATTCTTCAAGCAACTCAATAAACATCTGTATATGCGAATATCACCTGATGGCCAATAAAGAAATCAAATAG